CTTATACCTAAACTTTTAAAATTTAATGTCTATACTCACAGTCTCTACTCTCTCACTTCTTGTTCTCTCCTCAACAACTTTAACCTGCCTCTTGTGTCATCATTACAGGCAACATTTGATGCTCATATTTTTTCCTCTCTCATTCTTAGATTTTCTGTTTTTTTTTTCTCTGAGGGGCACCATTTAGACAGCCTAGCTAAAAATGACTGCATGTTCTTTATGAATCTCCTTAAGTGGGATGACTTGACTGAGGGTGAATGACCACTGAAATTCCCAAGCAGCCAAAAGAATGAGTCTATGATATTCTCAAGGGACACTACAAATGACATGGGCTTCATGTACTCCAARGTCCAGGGTCTGGCCATTAGCTTGAGGCATTGCAGAAATTCAAGTGTATAGGTACAATACTTACTGTTCTTAGGAAGCACAACTATATATTTCTCAACTCATAAGAACTGGGTGTACAAAACCCAGAAAAAAACATTTATTTATAAATAAAATTATAATTATAWATTTTCTCTCTTCATAAGAGAATCATATGGAAAGTGAAAATATAAGAAAGATGCTAATGTTGAGTTTAGAATTGATGAAGGAGTTTTATGTATATAGTCTCTGATAATAACAGGCCATATACCCTGCAATGTCTAGCTCACATCRTAAATGACCTCTGAAGGCAATATTTTCAAAGACTTGCAAGTAGGGTGTCCATGTATCTTCCATATCATATTGTGAAGAAATGCAATTCCTATTTTACCAGTGAACCAGTGTGATGTCAACTCATTCTCTAACATAAATATTGGGAAATTAAATTTGCAAAAAAGAATATACTATGAACATATCAGATACTATGTTCATTTATTTCTTGGCTGCCTCCTGATGTTTTGGGTAGCTCTTATGGATTAGAACAGGAATTTCAAAATGTCTTACAGTGAAGTTTCCCCAAAATGATTAATAAGCTTCCTTCATAAATAATGTTTGTTATCAAATGAAACCATTATTTCTTTCTGTTTTTAGAAAAAATTATGTAGCTTTCATGCCTATGCAAACTGGGATAGAAAAGTCTAATCAAAATAATATAGTTATGTTTTTTTTACTCCCATAGTTACTATATTTGAATATTAAATATGAGAGAAAAATCCTAATCTCACAGGTTTCACTTAACAGACTGTAACAAAATGTTCAAAGTGATTTACTCTAAACTGAGAGCTGCTCCCTGCTAGAAAACAAATGTTTCCTGAGAAATTCAAAATATCATTTAGCAACACCATAACCATTTACAATTACAGCGTTCACCACAGAAAGTCATTCATTCTTTGCACAAGTAAGTGAAGTAAGTCTATAAAACGAAGAAGGATGATCCATGTGTCTAGAAGCAATGAATCAGAAATGATCTCCTTTGAAACAAAATGTGCAAATATGTTTCTATCTATATCTCTTTGTCATNGTTACTCAGTTTTTTTTTTTTTTTTTTTTTTTTGTGTGTGTGTGTGTGTGTGTGTATATGGTTCTGGGGATAGAACCCAGGGCCTTGTGCATGAAAGGCAAGCACTCTACCAACTGAACTGCCCCTTAGTTCTTTATAGGATGGTTATATTTTAACTTATTCCCAGTGTCTCCCTCATGTCTTTTACTTGTTCAGAAGCACTCAAAGTAGGTGTTAATAAATAACTGGTAGTATAACACTAAATATCAGGTCACATGTGATACACAGAAAGCATCAGGTTTGGCAGATTTCACATTCCACATTCAATTGACCTTCTGAGAACATTCTGGACATTCAGTTTCCTTTTAAGAGATTTAATACTGTTACCCAAAGTGCAGTATTTAACTACAGCAATAGGTCTATATGATTGACAAAGATATTTGGTTATGTAGGAGACAATATAGAATGATGGTCATGAAAATGGTCTTTATAGAACTTAAAAATGTCTTTGGCACTGTCTATCTTTAACACTGTGGAACTTGGAACAGTTAATTAAGTCTCCAAGCTTCAATTTCTTCAAGTAAAAATAAGGATAACATTACCTCTGTTAAAATGACAGTGGGCGTCAAATGAGATAATGCATGTGATATGCTTGTCCTAGTGCCTGGCATAAAATAAATGCCTATAATGATAATGATAATTATACATAGTTTTCCAAGTCTCACTGATACTCCAGTTTCATTGAAATCAGTTATATCATCAATCTGAAATACTATATTCCATATATGGATTTATTTCTCAATAATGATATACTTCAAAAACACAATTCTCCAAATGGAATATAGTTTGTAGGACATTTAGTAATATTCTTACTCTAATGGGTAGGACTTTCCCAGGTATCTAGGAGCTCACCATGATGTCGGGTTTCAGTTATGTTTCTGAACAGAGCTGCTAGGAGGATAGATACTGATATTCTTTCTTCGCATATCATGTCTTGTGACAGTTCAGAATGCCACACTAACTTCTATATTCAGCTAACCTTTCTCTAAACCACAAGTCTTGAGAATAAAAGGGAGGTGGTAGAGGGAGGTGACATTTGACTTTAYTACCTGTAAATGACCTTTCTTTAATTCAAATCCCTTTTCCAWAGCACACACTCTCTTTCACTATTATCAAASAGCAAATGGCTCCTAAGTTCTATCCCTCTAGGGCTCTAAATTTCCTAGGTTGCCACCATCTGACCATAAAAAGCAAGAAGGTGGAGTTCCGGGATTCACTTTCTGTTGGAAATTAATTYCTCTATTTTCTTCAGCCCATGTAGAATTATTTAAGCAAGTAATCAGATTTTGCTGCACTGTGAAAGAATGTTGGTTCACAAAGAGCTGAGGCTTCTCACAAACACTGGGCATGTACTTCACAAGCTTTTCACAGGATTAAAAAGACAGGATCATACTGCCGTTGGCACTGTTTTAACTACCAAATGCTTCCCTRGAGATGCAACCTGTGGTAACTCTGCTTTAGAATACAGATTCACCTAGCAGATCCCACCTTTGGTATTACAGATCGTTAGGCTAGCYTGTCCTATTTTCTCCTCCTACTCTAAAGTCAAAGGATCACTTTGGGTTTTCCTAGAAAAATAACTTTCTTGATTTCTTGTATTTTGTTACAAAAAATATTCTGTAAAAACGAAGGTGGCTTTTATCCTATATCTAAATGAATACTCACTAGACAATGTCTCCTTGTTTTATTGTTATCATCTATTTGTATGTTTATACGAAGTTGTCTTTTTCTTTTCTTGTATTAACACTTCATTGAGGATCCCAATATCATGACTGTATTGCTTGTTTGCTAAAATTTGAAGGTTTCTTAGAATGTTTTTCTGCAATGCCTTTTGACAGGGTTTTTGAGCATTATCACTTGACCCAGCTCTGAGTTACATTTTGCATGAATGGCACTAATTTCCTCAAAAGCTGAATACATCTGCAYTTTAAAAGCAACTGTGATGGATTTTAATGACATCTTTAAAAATATATACTTTCGTTGTTATTTAGAAACTTCTCTGATCCTCACCTTCTTTGTCTAACTCCCTCAATTTATAATTCTCTCCTAGGATAGATTTTTCTTATCATCTGCTCTACATCAAAATGAGCTCTTTAGAGAAATCTAACATTATTCTATCCAAGTGTGAATTTAAGTCACAATGTTACCTTTTCTAGGGACAGGGGTATTTGGCACAAGAGCCTATCTTTAATTGCAAAGTGACACTCTTAAGAATTGTTTAAAAGAACCTATTGTTCAAAATAGATAGAATAAGAAGACCCTTACCATGCAGGACTCACATGCCAGCTAGCTAGACTTCAGGCCACCTGAAGTATTAATATATTTACTCATAAAAGGGATTTGGGATCTTAGAATGTTTTCYTTGAAACTATGCTTCCATTTCTGGCTTCTTTACTTCTTCAGTGCTGATCTAGGTCTACAGGAGAAAAGTGAGACTGTTGTTCCATGTCCTGCTTAAAAAGATAACATTACTTCAAAGACAAGAACAATAACACCTAGCAAAAATAAAACAAATTATCAGTTTAAAAATGTGCCTGTGGCTGGATTTGTGGCTCAGTGGTAGAGCACTTGCCTTGAATGTATGAGGCACTGGGTTCGATTTTCAGCACCACATATAAATAAAAAATAAAGATCCATCAACAACTAAAATTAATAAAATAAAATTAAAAAAMCCCACTGTGCCTATGTATGCTTCTTAATCTTAACTTTTTCCAGGAATTAAAGTTATTTTGGGGTACCTACTCATGCAATTTTGTTCTAGATCTAGCACCATAAAACCATCTAAATATATATAACATATATATATATATATATATATATATATATATATATATTTCCAAAAATTTCTTCTTTGATATGAGAGAATTTTTCTAAACCCTTCACCCCTTAAAACGAAACCAAAACTTAAAAACATGGAGTTAATTCCTTGAACAAACAAAAATTAGATTTTACCCAAGTTGCTTTAAAGAAAATGGAATTTATTTTCTACTTTTTTTTGGAGGGGGAAGGGGGATCAGRGATTGCATCCAGGGGAACTTAACCATTAAGCCACATATTTTTAGTTTTTATTTTTWGAAAACATCTTCTAAGTTGCTTTGGGCCTAGCTAAATTGGTGAGACTGGMTTTGAAYTTGTAATCCTCCTGCCTCAGCCTCCCAAATTGCTGGGATTATAGGAATGCACCACCAYGCCTGGCAAAAAGGGAATTTSCTTTAAATCAAGACAGATAATACAAACCACCCAAAGTAAACAAAACCAATACTTAAGAACATATTTTTTAGCACTACARCCTTGTAATATTTTTCTTTAGGTAATTGCACTTAATTGTTATAAATTTAAATATGTTGCACTTCTTGATAGTCACCCTGGCTCTTGAACTGTCAGGTAGTGAGATGAAATAAGCTGTTGATAAAACAAAGGAGTCATATAAAWGTATTTTAATCAAAATTGCATTTACATACAATTATAGTCACTTTTTCAATTTATACTTATACATTTATTTGATAACATCTACCAAGAGGTTCTTGTGGACTACAAACCAGAGTTGACATGTTAAGGATATATGTAACATGATTTATGAATAAAGATTTGACTAAATTGTGGAATAAGAATGTATCTTTGATATTTTTACAAACAGTTTAATATTCTAAAGGTAGWTATGTAATTTCCTTCAAATTCATTCATTCAATAAATGTTTGAGTGCCAACTTGTGCCAAATACTATTCTAGTTCCTAGAAAACAGTGATTATCAGGACACACATAATCCCTGCCCTTAAAAATGATCACACTCTGGTGGGAGAGACTGATTTTAAAACTCAACACATGAATAAAATATTTACAAATTATGTTGTGAAGGAAATATACAAGTTGCAAACTAGGATTTGGTGCTGGGAAGAAGTTTCTACAGGGTAAAGCTATGTGAAAAATAGAAGAGGTAAGGTATGTTTTCTCCCTGTCTTGTAACCCCCTTGTCAAAGTGAAAATTTACCTCACCAACAGGATACAGTGGCAAAAGAATATGGGTATTCCATTTCCCTGGTAGTATATTTTCATGTGCAGTGCAATTATGACAAAGAACACAAATATACGTATCCTGTAATTACTACCAAAATACTGTGGAGAAAATCTTRAATTACTGCAATTTATATAAGGGTTCCTTCCCATGATTGGATTTCATTGTAAGTTTTAGTGCCAGGACCATAGCTCCAGAAGCATGAAATAGAACCCCAATCCCAGCATGTAAACAACCTTGACTTCCCTGAATGAGTTGAATACAYTATGATCTGCAAATGAGAAAGGAGCATGTGATGTTTAAGAAAGGAAAGGTGTACAAAGTGGTCTAACTCAGAGCAGCCATTGAGACTTTTGCCACTCTAAAATCTGAGATCCATCACCTCCCTGTGTTCAAGAATCTCACTCCTGGGGAGAGAGGGTAACCCAAATATAAACTATCAGAAGGCTCAACCACTAGAGGGAGAAAGTGTGCCTCTGGTGACTAGGGAGCCAATGAAAGCAACTCATTAGAAGGAGAGGCTTCAAGGGAGCTAAATTAAGCTCTAATCAGTCAGGGGTAAGACCTATATCAACCATGGAAGCCTTGGGAAACTTCATGATGAACCCATAAGACTTTACAATTGATTCTCTTCTACCAAAGAATTCAGTTGCTTAAACTATCAAGATATTTCACCTTWATTTTGAATGTTTTAATTCATGGTTTCTAAGCACCTCTTTAACTTTGCACATACTTAAAATACTTAAGCTTCCTTTCCAGGAGGAATGACAATATAGAGAAGCTATGTGACCCTTTATATACTGGCCATTTACATTTTATGAACAAAATTCCAATTTTCTCAGTTAATTTAAGATTAAAATCTTTGCCATCCATTGGGATGATTAAAATGATTTGTGGGTTCTGTTTAGTCTCTCCTAAATATGACTTTAGAAAAATTAATTTTATTTTGATCATTGGAAGATAGGTAAAAAAATTGCTTTACCAATATGTAATTCACAGGCACAGTAACTATCTTAAAATCATTAGAAAGTTGTTCCAAGCTTGAGCCCAAATGATTTCTCTCCAATCTTGTTTGCTGCATGGCATCATAATTTTCCCCACCCCCCCCCATCCAAATAAAGGGAAATAAAAGGGAAAAAAGTGATTCTATTGGCACAGTTGATCAATAAATAAATACAATATATGGAATAAATCTCAAAAGGAGTTCATTAAAAAACTTAACTACAGTATTACTCAAGTTATACAGTATCCATTATTTAGACAGTCTCATTGTGAATGAATTCTTCCCTCACACGAAAAATCTAAAGAAGACATTTCCYAAAATTTCCCAGACATACACAGTGGTGCTTAAGATAAAGTTGATAATTTTATTTTCTATGTRTCATTTCTCTTTCCTCGGGGCGGGGAAACCCTCAGCAACTATTTCTGGGATTYTTAAAAGGAGTAGGAGGAGTGGAGTACGGTGCTGCATTGATTTTCTTCACAATCTGTGATATTATTTCTCAGAAATGCTGTTTGGCAGTCCTGATAATTTCATGTGTTTTCAAACTTAACCCACCCAGACTACACAGTTCAGTATTTTCAGCTCCTTTCATTTTCCTTTTCCCCTTTAATTATAGACGTCTCCATTCCCCTCTTTTTTGCAAATGTGGTTAAGAAAGATACTAAATGCTACTATTGTAGAAAGAACATACATTTGTTATTCTCATGACGATTTCTAGAAATTCTTCCAAAATACAGAGGCTGTGATCCATGCTTATTGCTGGGCAACACTTGAAGGGTTACTTTTTTGGACCCTCATTCGTTCCTCTGCCTTGGATGAATGTGGCACTTGCCCGGGGGAAGAAAAAGCAAGTAAACACTCTAATTTTAAACTTGCACTGTAAAGCACTTTCAAAATAGTCATAGTTGAGCTTCATCTCAGACCTGAATTTCTGCCTGGGTCCATTCCCGAGGGCCCCTCTATTCTGCTCGGTGTCCTGGTCTACCAGGTGCCGTTTTGTGAAACTGCACCGCAGACTTGACTGCGAAGCCCGGGCGAGCTGGTGGGTGGGTCCAGGCGCACACCCCGGCTCGGACCAGCACGCCGATCCCGGAGCTCCACGTCCTGCGCCGCGACGGCCGTCCCGCTCCAGTCGCCCGGCCTCTCCACGAATCCCAGTTTGAAAGAAAACTTCACGCGGCCGAGATGAACCTCCCTGCACCGTTCCAATCCTTCCTTCCCGGCGGGACGAAAACGTGAGATTTATTAGGAACCTGGGGGTGTGCGTGTGTGTGTGTGTGTGTGTGTGTGTGTGTGTGTGTGTGGCCGCCACCGCACAGCCGGAGCGGGTTACCTGCCCTCCCCCGGACGGGGGCGGGGTCCGCCGCGGCGGCTGGCGGGCGGGGGGCGTCGCGGCCCGGCGCGCGGGTGGGCGCGAAGGAGTGCGCGCGTCGCGGAGCCGCCGGGGCAGCACTTGTCCTGTAATCGATTGCCGAGCGCGCCGAGCGGCTGAGCGCGCCGACACGCGCACACGCGCCCGCCAGCCGGAGAGCACACACACACGCGCGCACACACTCACACTCGCACCGGCGCTCGGGTCCCGCACACACGCACGCCCGCGCGCGCGCACGCACGCCCGCGCCCGGGGCCCAGCGGCCCGCCGCCCGCCGCCCGCCGCCGCCGCCGCCGCCGCCGCTGCCAGCCCGCCCTCCGCCCGCGGGCGTCTGCGCGAGCCCGGCCGGCTGGGGAGATGTGCTCGGGCTCCGCCGGATCGGTTTCTCGGGGTTTGACCAGCTGTCCCGGGCTAACCCTGCTCCTCGCTGAAGATGGAGGAAGTAAAAACAGGATTACCCTTAGCTACAGATCCACTGCCTTAGTTTCCACCACCAACTGCAGTGCACAAACACACGTTAGGCACAGGAAAGAAAGAAAGAGAGAGGACACACTAACAGTAAACACAAACAAAAGGGTGATGGGATTATTTTACTGCATGCACTGCTGAGGTAAATCTCCGCTTGGCTTTTGCGTGGGGAAGAAGAGCTCTTGTTTTATTTGTCTTCTGATTCATAGATTATATATGAATTTGTGTATGATTTGCAAAGGGGGGAGTGTTTTCAAAGTTAAGTGTAATTATATAGCATCTCGTTTTGCACTGTGATCAAATGACTTGTTGCTGTTAACCACTGATAATAATAATATAGGTGTTTTTCTCTGGGAGGGATGGATTGTGGTTATGATTAGGGTAATGATTTCTGTTAAGGACGCTCAGGAAATCGGGTTGAAGATGATGTCCTCTGCCTTAATTTATCTTCCCCTCCTGGTAATCTGTTTCTGGGATGTTAATCGATTAATCAGTTCTCATCTCTATAGCTGTCACGGATTTGGACTTGTTTTGCTTTGTTTTAACTTGAATTCTAAGAAGAAAGATTGGATAGACTGGAATAAATTGCAGCTGTCCAGATAAGGTAATATCCAGATTCTGTTGGGATTGAAACAAACAAACAAAACAAAACAAAACAAAACAAAAAAACTGGTATGACACATGTAAAAAGGCAGCAGTTAAATCACTTTGACAGGTTCTGGTATGGGCGAAAGAGATGGAATTAAGATTTATTTTCTCTTTCTCTCTCTGTCTCTCTCTTTGCCAAAGGCCAAAAACAGTCCTGTGAAGTTGGCCTGGGTTCCTTGCTGGGTTATGCCTGACTGTCCCTCCCCTCTTACCCCCCCTCCCCTTTTTTTCTTTCAGTTTTCTTGTCTTAGCTTTTGGTCGATTCTTAAGGAACCGGTGGATCAAGTTTTTTCTCTTCTTGTTAATCGCATTGCTGTAGCACTGACTGACCTCTCTCTCTCTCCCTCTCCTCTCTCTCTCTCTTTTTTTTCCTCTTTCCTGAAAGTACGTGGTGCCATTCCTGAGTGACTTTTCCTACTAGACCATCCCAAAGGGACGAGGGGGAGGGGTGGAAGAAGGAGGAGGAGGAGGAGGAGGAGAAGGGGGGTGTTCCTTCTCTCTCATTTCTTGGTTTTGTTTATCTGCCGATCTGTTTGCTGGATTTGGGCTTGGAATGACCCACCTGTAAAGTGCTTTTCCTTCCTCCTCGCCTTGAACTCTGCAGGGGGCTTGGCTTGGAGGGGGCCAGAGAGGGAAAGAGAGAAGGGGGAGACACAAAAAACTTCTTTCTTTCTCTCCGTTTATCTTCAGCCCGACATTGTCACCTCCTCTTTGAGGGGTTAGAAGAAGCTGAGATCTCCCGACAGAGCTGGAAATGGTGATGAATCTTTTTTAATCAAAGGACAATTTCTTTTGTATGTACATTTCGTTTCTCTTTCTCCTTTTTCTTTATTTTCTTCTCTGAGGGTTAGTAACCATTTCATTGATGGGGCAGACTTCTTTCACTTCTCCCTGACGTTTCTTTCTTTTTAATATGTGTATGTTAAATGTGTAGGTTTTTAAAGAGATAAACTCATTTGTTAAATATCCGAAGAAACTGCTCCCCTTTTGAACTTCCCGGATCCCTTTCTTTAAAGCCTTATGTAATCATAATTTGAAAGAATTTGATAACAGGACAGCAGGTTGAAATTTAAGTCCTATGTAGTTTCAGAGTTGGGAATTTGATCTGATTATTCCATAAAGAAAGAAAGAAAAGTTTTTTTTTTTTGGTGGGGGGGGGCGGGTAGAGAGGGTGATGGTGAAGCAGGGGAGGGGAGGGAGAAGGGAAGTGGTTTTGGAGACAAGAAGTGAAGCTGCCTGTTTTCCAGTAAGTAATGGAGAAATTCCAGGAGCCAGGGCTAAATATACTTGGCGATCAATACAGAAATGGCTCATTGTGAATAATTTAGCTGCTGGTGCAGTGAGAGTTTTGAAACTAACGGCAAAAAGGACCAGGGCCAAAAGAAAAAAAAAATAAGTAAAAATCTCTTCAGGACTTGTCAATTCTTAAACTTTTTCCTTCAAAGAATACATTTAGATTATTGATCTTTTCATTATGTGAATCAAAGCTAGGGGGTGTCATCTCATATAGTTTACTTTTGTTTCTGTGAGTTAAGTTCTGTCTTGTGTCATTGGTGCATGAAAATAATTCCCCAAACTGGAAAAAAGTGATTCCTTTCTGCATAGCCAAAAGTTTCTGAAATTCTTGAAATCAGAATGTATTAAGTAGACTTGGCATTTGTATCCAACCATGGTCTGGCAGGAAATGAAGGTTACATTGAACAGGTGCTTACACAGAACTTGGGGTAGGCTAAAATGTCAATACAAGTCAGAGAGTTGGCCAAGTGCTGCAGAAGTCTTCAAGACACAGTTGGGCACGAAGTTTTTTGTTTTGTTTTGTTTTCTTATGGTTGTTTGTCCTCCCCCTCCCAATTAGAACATGATGAACCAACTTGCAACAATTGTGAATAGAGCTATCTGTATACTGGGGAAGTCCTCAAACTGCAGTGTGATTGTGGGAAGTAGTGAATGGCAAAGAACTTAAGTCCCAGTTGTAGCTGGCAAATTTGAGGTATATTTCCCTCATTTTTTTTTTTGTTAAAACAAATAAATTTTTATTAAAAAGAGCCACTCTTCTTGCTACAGCCCATCTCACAGCACACTTATCTTTCCTGTCCTATCTCCAGTAGGAATCAGATCATTTGCAGAAGGAGTTCAGTGACTTGCAAATGAGCACATACAGTACACTGTAGTATGTTTCTTGGGCACAGGTTGCAGCAGCAACATGGTCTAACTGCTTGGAGCTTCAAATAAGAATTTAATGGCAGATAGCGAAAGGAATCATTGTGTTTAAGGGTATAATTTCTTGTTTTACAGCATTGCACTTTGACTATGGAAACAGAGGCTATTGATGGCTATATAACGTGTAAGTATTCATTTTTCACTAATTTGTTATTGATGATAAAGTTACCTTTGTATATTACTTGGGATATAATTAAGAATTCTGTTCTCTTATTTTTTTTYACAATTTTCCTTTAAATGAATTTGAGAAATAGCACAGAAGCAAGATATATCAGAAATATAGAAGTATACCTACTACTTACTAAATTAAGGATAGTATTTAAATCAGTCACAGCTTAGCAGATCAACACTTTTCTACTTGATTTTTTCCCCCATTTACTTTTAAGTTTAAAATAGGTTAGGTTATTTACGTATGTACTAGTATGCTGTGTACTAAATATTTACTACTCTGTAGCCTAATTTTTCTGGGTACATAATGTGAAAGAAATCAGCTTCTTTTAAGTTGACTTTTTTTTTTTTAGCAAGCTCTTTTTTTCAGACATTTAACTTTGTAACAGGCAGCATTTTGGAAAATACTTATAATAAATTCTTTATGTTTAATAATTAAATTAGATGTTAAAACTTATCTTTTTTCAAGGAAAAGATACTTTAGAAGTCAACTACTTCATTTCCCCTTATTTGATGTGTAAGAGCATTGTGATAATAAAGTTTCGTTAATTTTTTTATTGTGGGCTGATTGTGGCTTTTCGTCATTTCATTCATTGACTATGTTTCTAAAAGATATTTCCTTATAGTTTCTTTTAAGGGAGAAATGTACTGCTTAAAAATTCAAGACTATGCATTTCACTGTGTATATGAAGCAAAGTTAGTAATTAGATTTTTTGTGACAATGAACAGAGACCAAAAGATTTTATTTTTGTGAAAACAGGTGACAATGAGCTTTCACCTGAAAGRGAGCACTCCAATATGGCAATTGACCTCACCTCAAGCACACCCAATGGACAGCATGCCTCACCAAGTCACATGACAAGCAGTAAGTCTTCATTTTATGATTTTTTTTTTCTGTTTCTCAAGTGACAGATTTGAATTTGTTAGGTCTGTGGGGTCTGCTCACATTGTGGTGTTGCTACTGCTGTAGATTTTGCTAAAGAAAGAACAACATAGATTTATTCCTGTTCATTCTAGTCTCATAAAACATGAGCCTGCTTACTAGTCTGAACTATCCCAAGGTGGCATTTGGGAGCTGGTGCTTACCTGTATCAGGTAAGAAATGTTAGAATCTGCTGATTAGTGTTTTGACTTGGTGAATTTCTATCTGGATTTGTTGTTGTTGTTGTTGTTGTTGTTGTTGGATTAAAAAAAATATGGAAACATGTCACTTCCAAAGGACTTTTCCATTGGAAAAGGACTCTTGCAGCGTATTTAAAAAATAGCATTATTTTATGTTATCATGGTACAAAACTAAACATTGTATTATTTCTTGCTTAAAAGAGTGGGGGGGGGGAGAGAGAGAGAGAGAGAGAGAGAAGAAAATGTTAAAGTTTCTCCTCCAAAGCATTGTAAGTGAAGTATAATTGAAATTTATTAAACTCATTTATATTCATTTCTCTAACAAAGTTGAAAGCATTTGTTTCAGATTGTCCAGGAGAGAGTTGTGAAAATTTGGAAGGATGTTTTGAGTTTGTAGGAACAGACAGTTTTGGCTGCTATTTTGATAAAGGGTCATTCATTGATGTAGTATACTATGTTTCAGTGTAGTAAAAAAGCAACTTACATGCAGTCARTGACACAAGACAAAATACTTACAGTTATTAAGAATATGGTTTATCTTCTCTTAATGTTTTATCAGCAAATCAACTGCCAGTACTCTGTTATTCCTACTCAAATGTAATTTGAAATCTTGTTTTCTTTATACTCTTGTATTATCTTCTTATATGGAAATGACAGGATTTATATGTAAATATAATTTAAATGGCAAGTTTTCTGTTGATGCTATGTGAAGGAAGGGCATTTCTTTTCTTTTGTGAAGACTAAACTGAAGAAAACCGAATCATCTATTTAATTTTAAGCATATACTTAATTCTAATTACCTGAGAGAAATTTTCCTTTCCACTTGCCTCTTATAGCCTTTTAAACTTAAGTTGTTTTAAAGTTACAAGCTTTGTAACTAGTTAAGTTTACTGAATTATAAGCAAACATATTTAGATTACTCTTGAATACATTTTGCAATTCATTAACTTTACACSATCTTGGATTGAAATATTTTAATTTACTGTATTTAAAAGTTTTCTTCTTTAATAATGGAGGAGTTACTCAGAAAATTTCATCATTCTAGCAGTCCTTGAAATTCCTTTACTGTGTAGAAAGGAAGAACTAAGAAAGTTATTGAGTGCATATGTACTAAATTATATTGCTAATTTCTTATATCTTGCAGCATTAATTTGTATTTTCTGTGTTGATTTGATAAAGGTTATTCCCTGTAGCAATGTAGGCAATAAGAGTTTTTACATTTAATATTTAATTGTTGTTGTTGTTGTTGGATTACTAGTTCTTTGGCAGGATATGTTTTTATTTCACAGAAACTTTCTACATGATTTCCTAAAGAGTCAAGATAGGTTTGCATTATAGTTTCTTTTTATTAAGTATTTAACTATTGGATTTAGAAATATTGAATATATGGAGTAGAGAGTAACTATTAATCAGACTTGACTGTCTTACACTGGTCACCACCAGAATATCTGCAAGAAAATGTTGGTTAATTAGTTAATTAGCCCCTTCATTTGTGAATTTGATTCAGCTTTTGCAAGTACTTGTTTCAAAAAGGCAGTTCACTCATTTTTAAAAATAAATAGTCTGGAGTATAGGCATGATTAATTTGAACAAGTAAGAAGTGTGCTTTTGACATTCAAGCATTTCTCACCCAACAACAGTAAACTTATGTTTGGTAAAGAGTTTCTTGTGGTGTTGTGTGTTTTTTCTTTAACTTTCTAGCCTGGGGCAATTCTATGTTAGTACAGTTTTTGGCTGAACTGCACATGTTTTCAGGTTCTTTTCCAAAGAGTTGCAGGTTAAATATTTTGGCTTTCACTTCAGAGCTGTCTGTGCATCCTTTATGTAGCCTCTATTTACAGTATCTAGGTTACCCACTTAGGTGTTAGATGGAGAAGATACCCATTTTTCCTCTCTTAGATCTAAGAGAATATCAACATTTTAGATTGCCAAAGTAAATAGGGGTAGAGAGGAACTCTTGACCATTAATTAGAACAGGGAGCGAGAATTGGTCACTCCGTTGCTTTTCTGTGACTTAGAATATACTTTTTGGGTATGAGACCTGTCAAATCACTTGTATCTGAGATCACTAGTTTTCTATATCCCTTTTCACACACTGTTGATTTTGTTAAATGAAAATAGCTTATTTTCCTCATTTTTTGAATCTTCAAATATACTTCTAAAGGACTGCTGCTTCCTAAAACAGAATAAGTAAATGCAGAAAACTTTATGATAGAATAAGAGAGTCTCTAGTAGCAAGCAAGAGAGGTCTGTGTGTAACGGGGGAAGGAGGAAAAGTTATTTTTAAATATTTTAGAAAAAATAAAAGAAGTAAAACCTTTGACTTTTATAAACCAACTAACATTCTGACCATAAAGTATTAATAAGATGTGATAGGTAACTTATTTGGCTTTAGGAAAGTGGTCAGTATCACTATAGGGTCCTAGTCATTTGTTCAGGGCATTTGGTGACTATTCCAAGATGAAGGGTATCTGTACAACTTGCTGCCAGCTATTGTATAAAAAATAATGACAGCAGCTATCATTATTTGACAGTGCTAGAACAGAGTACTGGCGACTTGGGAGAGAACTAAAAATGTGATAATGCCTGACATTTTTTAGTTTTAAATTTCAGCGTATAAGATAACCTTGAAAAGAAGTAAGAGGTATTAGTGATCCTAACATTCTATAATGACTACTTCCTATGTTTTAGACTGAATTTTCATGGAGAACTTTATAGACTTTTTATTCTGGAATAAGGATCTCTTTGATAAGAGGATGGGCACTGTTGCCTGAGATCATTAGTGTACATACTGAGTCTGCTGACAATCTTCGATGTCAGGGATGACAGAATATGCCTTGATGGCTACTGGAAATACACAGTGTTAAGTGATTTTAAAAATAGAATCTGGAAGTTAAGAATCTGAGATAGACAACTCAGACAGAACAATATAAAAATAATCCATATTGTGTTTTGGTCCATCAGATGAAACTTTGTGATTCCTTCTGTTTCTGGGTTAGCTTATTTCCAATTCTTGCATAGTTGCTTTGCTATCAGTTTTAAACTGTTCAATACTTACAGCTGACTATGTTGAAAAAAATTTAAGGCTCAAAAATTATAATTTTTAAAATAATGCCAGTRTGTAAATGTTTTGCAGATTATTACTTAAATGATGTATGAAAATATATTGACAATTTGTTTCTCTTACTTTAAAACCTTTAGGTGGATCAACTATATAGTCACTACTATTTATCAGTCAGTTTGATGGCCTGGTGGCACGTATGGAATTGGAAGAAGTAGTAATTCCAGTGTTACAAGGCTCTGACCATTAATCAGGTCAGGGAATCTAGTTTATTCTTTTCATAGTGCTTCACATTCATTTTTTTTCTTAGTTTCCATTTTTAGAACCTAGTGAAGCAGAAGTATATTATGATTTCTATTTTTCATATGTGGAAATTGAGGCTTGAAGAAATCAATTGACCTGTTAGGTTGCTTAGCAGAAAGATAAAATTCTCAGGGTTGGGACATAAAATGGGATATAACTTTGTGGGTAGGTAGATAATTGGTATCTGTCTATCATCTTATCCTCTCAGGTTGTCTGCCATGTCCAATACTAAACCATGTTTTAGTGACAAAAAGAGTATTACAGAAATAGAAGAGTGTTATTATGAGGGTGGAGCAACATCAGATAATCTTGTCAAGCCAGTGTTCTAATGTGCTTTTTAAAATATAGCTTATATTATGGGATTCACCAGCTTTCTGAGTTGTCTTCTATAGTTTAGTTTGGCAGTCACCCTTGGTTGGATTTTCATAGGGCACACCCAAATATGACACCAGCTGGGCTTGATGTAAAATCTAGCTCTGTTTGGAATTGTAGTGCTTTGGTTTGTGTATATGCCCAATGTACTTTACATTTAGTTCTTATTTGTTAAAACTTTTAGCAAAAGCCAAAAAGAAATTTGATTTAATTTCTTTATACCTATCAGAGATAAATTTCTGACTGCATTTCTAAAGAAAAAAGAAAACTAAAAGAAACATATATTTGCAGGTAATTAACAGAAAAAGTGTTGTTGTTGTTGTTGTTATTATTATTATTATTTTGCTTTGTGACTCATTCTACCTCGACCACTCCATATTTTTAGACTGCTTAGAGTTGAAGATTAAGGTTTGTCTTTGAAAAACAAAAATGCTTACTGTAGAAGGGTTGTCCTTRTTACCTTTATCTTTGCTCAAATCTGTCTTTCTCTTTGGAAGTGCTTTTGTTAATATGTAACATGATYGATTATGTTCCATTGGGAGTCTTCCAGGAAGCCATAATGAATTAAGATCTCTGGGTTCCATGCTCATCTCTCCTAACTTTTGATACATTGATATATTCTGAATATTGATGTATTTTGATCTATGGTTTTCTGAAAGATCAATATAGCAGTGTCACAGTTCAAACCCAAGGTAGTGTATGTTGCTTTTCTCTGCTTTTTTTCCTTTATATCTGTTTATATCTTTTATACTTTTATGTGTGTGTATATATATATATACACACACACACACACACACACACACACATATACACACACACGTTAGCATGTTAGTACATTTGTTAATTAATTGAGACATAGAACATCTGTGCTTTGCAATAAGTAAGGAGTATTAAGGAATTTATCCCCTATATTATAAATGCATTTACCACTGGATTGAGAGAGGTAGAAAGCCCTCGTTTATTGAGGTTACATGGGATGCTTAGCACTGTTCTAAATGCATTCCATA